AGAAAATGAAAAGCGTATCTCTACTATGGAAGTCAAAATTTAGTCTTTGTTTTTGCTTACTCATTGGTCACAGGTTTTCCCCAAGGATATGAATTATATTAAAATATTGGTAGTTGCCATCTTCAAGTAGAATGAAAAGAAAAGTAGTTATCCTGAAACTTTCTCTCCTATCTTCCTTCTAACACTTGTATTCGATAAATGATGTCTTCAGCTGCAGTTTTTGATGCTGTGTCTTTTGTTAAAAATGTTTTCTTCGAAGTTAATGCAATGTTGTATAATGTAGTACATAGTGTCATAGAGATTCGTTTTCTCGATAATGTTATGTTTATAATAAATTATTCTATTTAAATGGTATTTAAAACTGTCTAATTCTATAGCTCTATTGATCATAACCCAGATCTTTCGGCCACAGTTAGTCTTTCTAAAAGAAACAAAAATTCATGATTATCCGAAATCTTCATGGTTTTTACCGATACATCCGGAACTCTATTCATAATTTTTCGTTTTCCAAGCTCTACATTTAATTAGTTAATTTATCTCTTATTTCCATTATTTTTTCCTTATTTGCTCATACAAGATTTAGTACACAAGTAAATTCTTAGTTTCTAATACGACAGAAGTTTCTTCAAGATCCGATCATATTGTATAACAACTAGAGGAGATGTGATGTACTTTTGTGTTTGCTTTCTGAAAAAATTATTTGGCTTTTTTTATTTTTATTTCTTCCTTCTTTTTTCGTTTGACCCCCTCTATTTTCATATTTGTCGTTTTTGTTGTAACTATGATAAAGTCACAAATCGATCGCTTTTAAATCTATGAAAAAATGTATCTTCTTCAATTGTTAGTCTTCTAATATCTTAATCATTTAATTGCAGTTTCTCACCTGACGTTTTCACAAGCAATGCAATGCTTATACCAAGAGCAGTACCAGCGATTGCCAAACCAATGAAAGCTATGATTAATACTGCAACTGAGCAACAGCAACAATACCTTAAACAGTTTCTTACTTTATCAATCAAGAAAATGTTAAAAAAATATCTCACTTATTAAAATCATCTTCTACGTGTTCATATTTTTCTGGCTGTCGCTCGACGTCATTGAATTGTTTTACTGGAGTTCTACTTACTATCATCCAACTACCTGGTCTTAACATTATGTGCTTTTGCGTTTCTCGAAAGATGAAGAATGTAAAAATAAAATTTTCAGTTACTTTTATGTCATGGAAAAGAAGCTCGTGAAGTTGACTTTTTTTTTACTAATGCATAAGAAGTTTGTATGAATTCTTTTGAAATAACAGACTTTCCATAGCAATCAATTCGCTTTCACATCCAATTAGTGTACAAAAAGTTTTTTTTTCACACTGAAATAATTTTTTTATATTATTTTGGCATAAAAGAAAAGAAGGCGACACATATACATACAGTAAAGTTCGAGACATTTATGCAGCACACATTGGTTTTCCAACTGTTTGCTTTTTCTATTCGCTAAAAGGTAATATTTGAGTGCGCCCCTTTTTCGAATGACTTATTGAAACATGACATGGGTTGTGCAAAGTGAGTTTGTGTTTCAAAATTTTTGATTATTTTGTGACAAGAAATTCTGGCATACTTCACCTAGAAGCAACATTAATGACAGTGATTACAGCGTTTCAAATCGTTATTCGTTCATTATTAATTTATTAGCTCAAAATTTTAGTGTTACTGTAAGTCTTACATCTCATCTCTGAGCAAGTCATCCAAAAATAAATGTATTCACATAATTTGGCCGCGCCTCACGCAGAAGCAAACCATCGAGAACCCATCAAGTGCGGTGTAACAGAGGTCCCCATTAGATCAAGACCAGGGCGAGATGTGTGGGTATAAATATCGATGCACATGAATGGCATTCTAACCGATTGCAGAAAGAGCCTTCACCCACTCATTTTCACATTCTTACATGCAGTTTCTAGGATAATATATATCATACAGTGTTCTGTTTTCTCCCATTACTAACTACTAAATAACAACACAACAGAACGAAAAAGAAAATTTTTTTTTATTTACTCTAAATTTCATGTTATTAAAAGAAACATGTAAATCGTATTCAAGAAATAAACAGTTATAATGCATTGAAGCACGTCATATTCTGGAGAACATAATTCTCTATATATCAATATCTTTCATAGTCAGTGTGCCTTTGTTCCGAAAAAACTAATAAGATCTAATAATTTTTGAAAAAAAAAACACATATTTTAAATAAGTTATTTTTTTCTGTCGAATGATGTATTTTGAGTTAAAATTTTATTCTTTCAAGATTGAAATGTCTCGGTTTTCTGGAAAAGCTATGATCCTCGCAGCTTTTACAAAGTTTTGAGCTTTTATGAAAGAATTTTTTCAGTTTTACTTCATATTAATATGTAAACAAATATTTTCTCTACCAAATAAGGCGTAATTCGTAATGTTGTGATGTAAAATAGAAGATTGATAAAATGAAAATTAAATTTGTTTGAATAAATTTTTGGTTTTTGAAATTAAGTATTTCGCAGAAACTCTTTCGATACTTCTTTAAAATCTTGTCTTGGCAAAGTAGTGTCTGCATAAAATAAAATAGAAAGCGTAACCTATCGAATCATACAACCAGAGTTCAAAAAATACCTTTTCTTCGTCATAAAATTCGTCTAAGAACATAAATATGATAAGACATCCCCATAATTTTTCTAGATACTTTATGACATCAAAACACTATTATTTCGTTTCCTCATAAACAGAAAGAAAGCTAAACATTCAAATGTCATGCACTCCGTGCATGCAAGTATTAATTTGCATTTTCTCATTTCCACAAAAAAGCAATGCAAACAAGAGAAAAAGAAGGAGCAAATTAAAAAAGCGAAATACATTTAATGAGAAGCATATTCATGACGTAAAGCAATCTATGTAATGAAAATGTCATGCTTCATTGATCCACATAAACATATGTAAATTGAAAAAAAACAAGCAAATTTTGTCAACGATAAATAGGGAGCAGATAGGTTGAGAGCAGGCAAAAACAACATTACACATTTCAGAATCACTTATTATGTGAGTATATTGAATTTCTTACACTTTCAGACTAGAGATAACATTAAAATTAAATGCCAAGTATATCTACAAAAAAACGAAACGCACGGACTATGCAAACGAGAAAATTAAAAACACAAATGAAATCAACAGCTTTCATTGAAATAGCTTCTACACGTAAAATAGTTCTATTACGAACGATGCCAAACTGAGTGACCTCGGTAATGTTTAAATGTTACCAAGAATTATAGTAGTGTGGAAGTAGAATGAGATAATCATTCTTGATTTAATGTTTTTTTCTGTTCGAGACACAAATAACCTGTATCGAGTTTTGGCTGCATAGGCTCTCTTTTAGATGTGAAAAAAAAAAATAAAAATTAATCTTCAGTCACCGGTATAAGAAACGTAAAAAACATAATTATCATACATAAAAAAAACTGCTCCCAATGAATCTCATGATATGAATCAATAAAAAAGTCAGTACTATATCTACATGCATAGCAAATAAAGGAGAACAAATGCTCTAAGTATTTATTTTCAGTTATTTCTCTCAAGTTTTCTTCTGAAAATTTATACTATATTCGAGCCTATCTAAATAGAAAAGAAAAAAAGAAAAATATTCTTTTTGTCGTATTGATAGAATAATATCTAGCAATCAAGTTATTATTAAGATATCATGGCTCAATCATCGCACAAGACCCTTGTCGAACAATTTGCACAAGCTGTCAGTAGTCGTCAAGTGCATGACCTTGATAAATTTGTCGAGCCCGATGTTCGGAAAACAACTAATTCGAAAGTGATCTACAGCAGTCTTCAGGAAGCCCAAGATTATTATAGCAAAGAAAACTTGACACAATGGAACATTTTGGAGTTTACCCAGGATGAACAAAATAGCAATAAGATGCAGACTCGAATCAATCATGATGGTAAAACATACAAAACATCATACACATTTGGTCCATCTGGCAAAATCCATCGGATCGATACTGTTCTTGAGAACCAATAACATATGAGCGTTTATTCCATCAATAAATGATTACGAACATATTTGAGTATTTTTATTCTAGCTATTGAACTTATTATAATTTGTACTCACGCTTTTAACTCAATCTCTGCTTAATAAATAGTTCATATATATAGTTTTCTACCTTTATAAATACTTTATGTATCCGATAAGGGTGTGGGCTAAGAGAAGGTGTTACTCTTTCATATACTACTCAACTATAGTCTAAAAAAAGTTTGACTTCCAAAGACAGAAATCAAATGAGTGGCATTGTTTAATATATATGAGGGCAAGGAAAAAAGTCGCAGCACGGTTCAACTTTGATATAATTTATACCTATTTACTTTTTTTCAAAATCAGAATTCGGATGAGCGTATGAACGAATGTGTATAGATATATTGATGTAATAGATGGAGGTCCATGGATGTCAGTATAAGTATACTGAAAGTGTAGCCATATTCATATCTATATCCTTATTGTGAATTCTATAATTTTTGTCTTAAGAAAAGAATTTTAGATATGATATTCAACAAACAACTGAAGTAAAACATTTAATATCAGAAAATGTGACTGATACAAGTATTGATTTTGTTTTCAAACTCCTAGTGAACGGTCGTGAAATTTTTCAATAACCATGGCAAAATTGATAAAATCATGATTTTGATGAGTTCAAACAAATTACTTCAAAGCCCAGGTGTTTCTGATGACCAACAATAATTGGTTGTTGCTCAAAGAAAATGCTTTCGAAAACTTCTATAAATAAATGTTTGACTTAGATTGTAATTGAGCAATAATCTTCATAGTCTTTATATGATGATAAGTTATTGTCTGTAGTATTTAATAGTCTCGATTCAATGACTCTCTGTTAGAGCTTAACTCTAGATGCTAGATTGAATTATTTAACTTGACGTATTTTCTTTCTATATCTTTTGAGAAAATAAGTTCTTTTTGTTCTTCACTGATTAGTTCTCTTTTGAATATGTCCATAAGAGAACTGGTACAATACCTGTAAAACAAAAGATGAAATGAATAGAAGGAAATAACTTCTCTTTATAGAGAGGAAAATATGTCATTGTATGATTATATAATAGGAGCAAAAAACAACCTTCTGATGTATTCCATTTTGGCATGATAATATCATCAGCTAGATATTCTATTGGAAATTCTACAATGAAACCTTGAATTTTTTTACACTTATCATATGCCTATAGAAAAAAAGAACAAACAAAATGAACATATACAATGTAGCATAGAGTTACTTTTTTAGGATCAGTTTCTTTTAATTTTGATCGTTTTTCATAGGCTTCAACGTCGATAAATCGTCGAACCTGATTAGTAAGCAATGAATTAAATACTTCTTCGTATATTTCAGTATTTTGTTGTGCTATTCGACGAAATTATTGATAAAATTCATCGGAACATGGATCATCAAGATTGCTCTTCTCTTCATTTTTTATTCCTAATACTGGTCTTCAATAATAAACAAAAGAAAAATACCTAAATAATTTCTTTCGCCATGCTGAACAGAAAAGTCCAACTTTTTCCCTACGGTCATTTAGATATGAATCTATCATTTCAATATCATTAACAACTAAACAAATTTCTGAATCTCGAGAACCTTGAAGTGAACGATCATTAATATTAGCCGATCCACAGATACACATTCGATCATCAACAATCATTAATTTTGAATGAACATAAATTATTTCTGTTACCTAAAAATAAATATTCTTCAATCAAATTTAAATATTAAACAGTACTTACTAAACTACCCATTAATATATCCCAATTTCGCATACCATAAAATGTGATATAATCTTCAGGATTAGACACACCTATTTCCTTGTCAATTATTTATTTATGATTTCTAGAAGTGGTTAACATACTTACCATTCTGTTTTAACCTTTGATAGAGTGACATTTCTCCTTTATTAATCGATCTCATTATAAAATGAAGTACAGCTTGAATAGTATTAGCATTAGAAAAACCAGGCAATAATGCTAATAAAATATGTATTCGAAATTTTTCTTTATTAGCATGTGCACGCATTATTCGTCGATAAATAGCATCACCGATATGATTTTTAATTGCCGAATCATTAGGAATTGTGACAAAAAATTGATTCTTTTGATTTCAATTTAATAGTGAAATTTTCAAACGAAGAAAATATCAACAATAGATAAAGAACTTACTTCAATATAAATAAAATGTTGAGCGTTATCGATCATATGAATTTAAGCATTTTCAACTGATCGTTCGACAGTACGAATTCCATATGACCAAAATGATGCAGAACGAACACATTGAGCATCAATACGAATTGGTGGTCGATCATCTGGAAGAATTGAACGGAGAAAAGATGTATCAAATACTTCATCATCATCACATGTTTTTGGAAGAAGATATAGATAAAAATCATTAAAACGATGTTTGTCTGCCTAAATAATCATCAAATTTAGACAATTAATTTCTTAATACTAATCCACAAATGACAAAGGTATCAAGATTTCCTCGTAGAATATTTACAAAAACAAGAAAATGAGCTTGTGAATATTCCATCGTTGAATAAAGTGTCTGACACAATCTCTTGCTGCTTCACCTGAGACAACTAATATTTCATGATGCCATGGCATTCGTGGTACAAGTTTTCGATCAATATAATCTAAATCAAAAAATAATATAGCATCTTGAAATCAGCAAAAATAAAAACCTTCATCAAATTTTTCGATAAATTCAAAATCTTTTTGATAATAATTTGAATAATCTTTGCCCAAAAAGAACTGATGTGTTTCATCAACCACAGACGTAACACCAACAATTGTTTTAGGCTTCGTATCTGATGATTCACTGATAGATGTATCTTCTTCTTCATCCGATGATTCGTCACTGTTAATCCCACTTTTCAACATCTGTCATCCAAGGAGAAGAAAGAATTATAATACTCTTCAATACAAATTACTTTGATCATTTGTCGCCATCTATTTCCATATCGATCAGGTCGATATGAGAATTCATTTTCTTCAGCTAAAAACTTCTCGGTCCTGTTTAAAAGATCTTCAATTTTTGTTACTTCTATTCGATCAGAGAAGGAAAAGAATATAATTGCTTAAAAATTATTAAGAAAGAATATTACCAGTTGCATTAGTGGAATTTTCACAGTTGACTTTTCTATCATTCTGACTAGGATCTGTCCTCATAAAAATGAAACAGAATGTTCTTGAAAACGATTTATTTCAGATAAACTTACTCGAGTGTTTTCTATTGATGTCTATTTCAACAGAAAATAAGAAGTAGGGTGTGGGTGTGGGTGTGGGTGTGTGGGTGTGGGTGTGACTCTTTTCATAACCCACGGCCACACCCACACCCCACTTTTCCACTAATTTTTTTCCTTTCTCCTCTCTAGTTTCATCTTTGTGCTACGATAAGCACCTGTAAGGTTTGAGTTGCTAGAAGGAAACTCATTTTCTTTCTGAAGAACCATTATTGTTTGTTGACGGCACTTTTCCACTAATTTTTTCCTTTCTCCTCTCTACTTTCATCTTTGTGCTACGGTAACCACCTATAAGGTTTGAGTTGCTAGAAGGAAACTCATTTTCTTTCTGAAGAATCATTATTGTTGGTTCAAGGCACTTTTCCAGTAATTTTTTTCCTTTCTCATCTGTAGTTTCATCGTTGTTCTACGGTAACCACCTATAAGGTTTGAGTTGCTAGAAGGAAACTCATTTTCTTTTTCAGGAGCCAGTATTATTTGTTGGAGGCACTTTTCCACTAAGTTTTTCATTTCTCCTCTGTAGTTTTATGTTTGTGCTTCGGTAAGTACCTGTAAAGGTTTGAGTTGCTAGATGCAAACTCATTTTCTTTCTCAACAGGCATGATTATTTCTCGATGGCACTTTTGTAGTAGCTGTTTTTTTTATTCTCTGTATTCCCGTCTTTACGCTACACTAAGCACCTTTATAGGTTTGTATTGCTATGAGGAAAATTTCTTTTGTTTGTAAAATCATCATCATTTCTCCATAGCATTTTCCTATTGGTGATTCTATTTTTTTGACTGAGTTTTCATAGTTTTGCTTAGGTAAAAGTATATCTTGTTTTCCTTGTAAGCAGCACAAAATGTTTCTTGTTTTTTGGTGGAACTCTTGTTATATTTTCATTGCATTTTTCGTCCCGTTTTTTTTTGTGTTTTTTCGGTTTCCAGTCTTTTTAGTGGTGGCTGATGGTGTCACTTAGTAATGAGCGTAGGTGATTTGACTACATTAAATGTGTTCTGGTGTGTGATTGACTTTTGGGCTGAGCCGCATTTTCCACTGAGTTTTATCGTTTATGGAATGGATGAAAAGTTTGTGGAATAGGCTTACACTTATATTGTTCTCATATTTTCTAGTGAAATTATTTTTGTTGCAGTTAGTGTTTGCTAGTCTTTACATAATGTTACAATTTAAAGCGAGATATTCAATGTATAAAACAAAACCCAGTTGTTTTGTTCTTTATGGAAACTAAGAAATTTTAGCATTAGAATTTCATTCTTTATTGGATATTTATATCAAAGATGATGGAAGTTATTTGGGCTCCTCGAGTACATATAGTGATAAAACTTAGATTATATATTTTTGTACATAGTTAAAATGAATCCTGTTGTGTGTAATTCAAAACATCGTGTTTCGATTTACGAGAATCTTCCTTGGAGGCCTATTTCATGCACGCTTAGAAACTCGTTTTCAGATACGTCTACGTTCCAGTAATGATTAGACCATAGCTATTAGACAAACATTTCCACAGAATGATAAAACTTTATGCCACATTTAACAAACTTAAAAGAGACATGGTAGAAATAGAAGATTGAATGAATTAAATATTTTCAGAAAATCTTCTGCTAGGTATGCGTTCAAGGAGAAATGCTATTAGTATATCTACTGTGAAGACGATAAATGTTTAACATCAAGATATACTACACTGTTGAGAAAATGTTTTCTTATAGGCCTGTATAGATCAGAGATGTAAGAGAAATTCGAAAAGTCCGGCCTCTTCTGGAGAAATAACATCCGTCAAGCGATCATTAGGAAATTAATGAGAAAACGCGTAAACAAACTATCTCACAACTGTGAGAGCAGGAGAAATAATTAACAAGTTAGAGAAAATGATCAAACACAGGCATAGACACAGTCATATCTCGTAATATTAGTTGAATTCGATTAGATGTATCATATCCTAAAAGTAGTAGATATGTTACCTACGTAGAAATACACTCGAATGTGTGGTACATCTCTTTTATTAATCCTTTTGATTTTAGTAACTTTGAAAAAAATAACAATATTCACAAAGTGATCAAGATATTCAAGTAGCAGAAATGGAAAATAGCAGGATGCGGTGGGTCTTGACTTTTCTTCGAACGCTTAATCTCTACAAATCGCAGCCGAATGATGATGAGGTAGAACGTCGTGAACGGCTATCTACTAGAGTTTTTCTCTGTCTTTTATTTGTGTTCATGATATCTGCTATTACCTATGCCGTGTCTTCATTGCGTGTAGTCAATATTACGATACACAATCCAACTGTAGACAAATTCAAGAAGCTTTCTGATCAATATCCAAATACACTTAAATGTCCTTGTTCATCGCTTACTGTACAGTACAGTGAATTCGCGAATTTTCAAGTCACTTTTCATGAAGTATGTCAAAGTCTATTTATCTCACAAGAATGGATTAATGAAGTCTATGCCGCCAACGTTTCATTCATTCCTCCCAATGATATCCGAACAATAATCAGTAATTTTTGGCAACTAGTTCGTTCATTCTGTAGTTTGACAAAATCTTTTCTTATTGATGCAAACAGTGAATTTAATTCAAACAATTTAGTGAGTCTTTTAGCACAGCCACAATTTTTTATTGAGGCAAACATCTATACATCTCTGAATTTTACACTCAAGGCAGTACTAGCAAAGATGAAGCGATACATGCTCATATATCGTGAAACAATATTGGTGAATCGAGCAATATCGAGCTTAGGTACTAATTATTTCATTTACTTCAATGATTACAATGGTCGTCTCACTGCAGTTGCAAATGCCACGAATTTTCCAGATGGTTGCTCTTGTGAATATTTGAATGGATGTCCACGTTCTACTATGATTGTTGAAGGCAATGAAACGTCTGATTGGGCGACAGTACCAGGCATCATGTTCGACTGCTTACCATTAGATGCCGCACTCTCTTCGTCGTTGGAATGTTTTTACGATTCATGGTGTNTCTGATAATATAAGCCTGAAAATCTAATTGAAAGCTGGTCATTAGTATTCGATTCATATGTAATAGATAATCGTTTCTTATGATCGCTAGAAAAAAAAATGCTAATAATCTGTTACATGTAAATTTAAATGAACTTTCGATCGAGAACGTTTATGTTCTAATCCAACAACAATGAATCGAACAGTATAATCATATGATGTTTTATCTATTTCATAGTAAAATGAATTTGATTGAATATAATTAATTTTAGATATGAGAACTGGTTCAACCGATGGATTTTGATCTGTTAAATCTTTCCATAATTATAAAATAGCATTTGTTGTATATTGTCGTATTTTTATTGTAGCATCGACTAATTGATCTAATTTGTTATTATCAATCGTAGATTTTTTTTTCAAGTCTTACAAGATATAACATTTGCCAGCTTTGAATATATTATTAGTTTGACCAGAATATGTTCCATAATGAGAAATATATAAATTTTTTCAAAGGCTTCATCATGTAAAATAGTGTACCATTGTTTATATACGAGTTGCATAGAATATAAATCCATAGCATCAGTAATCAAATGGAAAATTCGATTTTTTGGGAATTTCTGATATGCTTGGAAGTAAACGATAAGGGTGTGACTGTGGGTTTGGTGAACAGAATATCAACACTCACACGTACATCCACACATACATCTAGGGATTTGAAAAATAAAAATGTGTTTGAAATGGTTATTTTGGAAATATTCATCAAAGAAATTTCGTGACTTTGATTTTTTCGCAAAATGAAGATCATTACATTAGTTTCATAACTTTTACATCTAGAATACTACATTTCTATGATGCTTCAGAGAAACGAAAATTACCATCCCTTTTTTTAATGAAAAGTGTTTTTAATGCATGATTTTGATGTGACATACATCATATGTCATGATATTTTTTAAATACATGATGCAAGTGATTAATTTAGATTTTATCTACATATTTATCTTTTCGCATTTATACTCTAAGTATTTTCCCCTTTACGTGGTTATAGAGTAAAGTGGACCTTTCAAAACATCACCACTCCAGCCCTTCGTAGGACAATTAGCCTGAACTTTGCAAAAAATCCAGATAAAACTACTCCATATGAATCTACAGGTGGCTTCTTTTTCATGATAAGATTTTCATTAATATAAATTTTAAAAAATCATCGATGACTTAGCAAAATGTAAAAAAAGAATGTCTGTTTCATCATTAGAAATGGCTTTTTTTTCTCATTTTGTGTCATCATTTTTCTGTGGGAAAAATATCACTAAAACGATGTACATTAGATTATTTTGTAAACCATGTGGAGTGCATAGCAAGGAAGAACGAAAAAAACAAACAAAATCATCATCATATGAATATTCAGCTAAGGAGAGCAGAAAAAAGTCGAATCAGCATGATGAAGATACTCATTTGTGTATATAAACGCATCATAGTCACCTATATTTCTACTAAAATAATCGAAAAACGATCATCAATACGAACAATGACTACCACTGTATAGGAATACTATGAGCAAACTCGATGGAAAGATCGCTCTCATCACGGGTGGTTCTGTCGGCATTGGTTTTGCAATTGCTCAACGTTTCATTGCCGAAGGCGCAGCACATGTCTTCATCACTGGACGACGCCAAGAAGCACTCGGTGAAGC